TATGATTTTGATTTTCTTCTTTATGTTTATCTGTATTTTTTCTAATTTCTACAGCTCCTACATTTATAATAGGGAAAAGTTATTAAGATATAGAAATCCTTAATAGTTAGCACTGAAAGGGGACGAGAGAGGAAGAGAGAAAATAATGGAGAGAGAAAATGACAGAGAGAGAATGACAGGGAGAATAGACTTTCAGACTTTCCTGACTTTTACCTACTGGCTGTCTGCCTTTACCTGGTTATTAACCTCTCTGTGCCTCAGTTGCCTCATCTATAAATGGGGTTAATAATACCACCTAGTAGAGTTGTTGCAGATATTAAATGGCATAAAAGGCTTAAAACAGTGTTCACAGTTATTCTCATTATCATTTCTCTCTGTGAAAGAAAAAATAAGGCAGAACTAATACTGGAGTATCAAGGAGCTCTTCATAAAATTATTGCCTAAACTAAGTGGTCTCTAAGCCTAGACTCAAGAATATTATTAATAAATAATTGTATTTATTCCTTTCTTGTATTATTCTCTCTCCTACCTGGCCACGTTTTAAAGTCACGATGCCACATTTTATGTTCCACCACCACCACCAGGTCCTTGTGAGCTGACGATACTCACTATATACAAACATGGACTAGTGGAGATGTTTTATTATTTAATGCTAAGCATTTCATATATTATTATTTACATAACAACAAGTATATTGAATATATTAATAAATGGTTCTCTCACCCATTTTTGGACGTGAAACTAAAAATATTTTTGTTTTATTCCAATTATGATTTTATGAACTTCGAAATCTTCTGTTTACTCTTAGAATAGAGAGCTGCTCATATATTTTATCCAGAATGTGTTTCATCCAATGAAAATATTTTGAAAATATAAACTCTCATGCACACCATCCCTGAAACACCAACTTAATTGGTCTATTCAGGGAAAATAAGTCAAGCTTTTGATCAATTAATTGCACTAAAATTCTACACTTTCTTATTACATTCTGATAACAAAGGCAAACACAACTAAATGTATTCTATCTAACTCATCATTCCCAGAAAAGAGAGAGGAGTTGTGGATTCATTTACTTATTCATGAGAAAATTTGTGTTGTTAAAATTTGATAAGCTAGAGGAAAAGAAAAAAATTCTGAATATACTCAGTCTCTTTGATTAATTTTTTGCATGTGTTCACCATCTCCCAAGACAATTTGAAGAAGGAAAGGTGACTGATGTAAATTTTATCAGAGATTTTAATATGTGGTTTTAGCTAATCAAAACCTTTTCCAATTCTGATCTACTTAAAACATGGTCAATTTGCCAGGTTGTGCAGGATACAGAATCAGTTTTAAAAAGCCAGGATGTTGCTGAATGAAGAAGAAAAATGTAAATAAAAGAAAGTTAAAAGGGACAGTTAGACCAACGATTCCTGTGCTTGGAGTCGGGCATCTGTGACATCTGTATCACCCATGCTGGCATCTCCAGACCCCCAGGGTCTCCAGAGATGACGATGGAGAGCGATTTTAAGTATTACAAAGGCCAATAGAATTGTACATAAGAACTTTGTCATATCATTATGAAGCGACCAGCTTGGCATTTGCTACTCAGAAATTATGAATCAAAGCTATATATTGAAATGGAGGTCAAATTAATTATTATTATTTTACAACAGAATCCTCAAGGAAAATATTAAATCAAAAAGGTTCTAGGGATGGATAAAATTAGAAACACAGACAAGCAAGTTTTGATCTTAGTTAATTCCCCCAAAATTCAGCAAATTATTACTTTGCATTCAGCATTCAATGATTAACTTCTACAGTGTTAAGGCCTTATAGACATTACCTGATTTGTGTCTAGATGATCCTATTACCCCCATTTTACAGGTGAAAAACAGAAGGTAACACAGGTCAGGATCACTTCCTTAAGAAATTGTAGAACTAGAACTCAACATCCACCCCTCATCCCAGAATAATGCTTGACATTTTAGGTTAGAGATTAATCTTTTCACTGAAGGTCAGAGAATTTGGGTAAGGAGAAAGAGAACTCAAAAAAGCCCTAAGTGGGGAGGGTAAAAGTGAGGAATGAGAAGAGGCAAGGAATGAAAGAGACTGAGGACCACAAAACTTGTTCCCCCTAGGTCCTACTGGAAGAATCACATGGCTATGAGCGCACAGAATCCGCTGTTCTCTATAAATCTTGCCCTCTCACCTTGACTCAGATCACCAGGAAAACAGAGTTCCTTCCAGAGTTTGAAATTGCTTATTTCTTTCCTCTCCAAATTTTCTAAGTGGGGCCTATTACCCTCCAAAATGAGAGCTTTTGGCCACAAAACTGCTGTCCACTCACAGCCAGAGAGATGTTCACAACTGGGGATCCTCTTAAGTATGTTATAAGAGGAGAGGTGAAAGGAGAAAAGAGAATTAGGGAGAAAACTCTCCAGGTACTTGCTCTCTGGAGTCATGGTTGTCGTGGAGTTTTTTTCCCTGCTAATTTCATGCCCCACTTTGCCATGTCCTTTCTGATTCAATTCCCCTCTTCCCCATGGTCCTATTATGATTTCATGATTATAGCTTTTCCTTTAATGAAGTTGGGGTCATTAGAGCTGGAAAGGACCTAGAGATCATCTAGTCCAATACCATCAACTTCCAGATGACTACCTGAAGCCAGTGGAGCTAAGAGATTCGCCCAATGTGACATACCTGGCTGGTAATATAGCCTGATAACAATAAATTAGATACGTGGACACTTCCCTGTTTACAAAGTACTTTCACTTTAGATAGATACATACATATATTTTTCTCAACCCCCTGACCTGAATCAATCATCACAGCATCCCTGTGAGGCAGACATGGCATGATTTCCTATGCATAAATGAGGAAATACAGGCAATAAGGAAGACAATAACACTCATTCATGACAGGGCCATGACTTATCATGGTTACAACTATGGGCATTGGTATCAGCCAATCTGGGTTGAATTCCAGCTTTCCACTTGCTGGTTGTGTGACCTTGAGAAAATTAATCTCTCCAAACCTCAATATTATCACCTATAAAATGAGGCTGATAACAGTAGCTACCTCACAGAGTAGCTCTTCATAGAGAGAATCAAATTAGATAATGCTTATAAAGCACTTCAGAGAGTGAGGTACACATCATGCCTTCTATTAATAGAAGGTGTAATTTATGTTTTCTGAATTGGAGTTCTTTCCAACATATTATGCCAAATCACTAATCCTTAATTAAAAATATCTACTTAAATCATGCCCACAAAACTTTTTTGTCTTTTCTTTTTTTTTTTTTTTTTTTTTTTTGGTGAGGAAGATCAGCCTTGAGCTAACATCTGTCGCCAATCTTCCTCTTTTTGCTGATAGAGCTCATCTACCCTGCCATTATTAGGGATACAGAGAAGTTTTAGGAAGGTCTCATTCTTGGTTTGATCTACTTCAGCTAATCTTACTTCTGGGAGAGAGGGATGAATGAGGCAATGAGTTTATTTGATTTAACTCTTGCTAATAGGTTAGTAGAGATATATTCACCCATATAAAAACTGTAATAATTTAACATTTTAAATTGAACAGATTCTTTTTATTTATTGCGGTAACATTGGTTTAAAACATTGTATAAATTTCAGGTGTACATCATTATACTACTATTTCTGCATAGCTTACATCATGTTCACCACACAAAAACTAATTACAATCCATAGATATAACAACAAAAGTATAGAATCTGGGCCCCTCCATCGGCGAATCAATGGAGGACATGGTTCTGGTCAGTGAGAACCATTTACGTTCCACATATGACACTTTGTGAGATTCAAGACGGATTGTTGCTACACTGGGAAGAACATGGCAGACCTCAATATGCCCAAAGGTTCTATCTCTAAAAGAGGGATAATTTCTCATCTGCCAACTTCACATGGTAATAGAAATAAATCATATCTATACAATGTAACTATGTGAAGTGTAAAGTGTTGTATAAATATTAATGTAATAGTTTTGAAATGTAGTCCATTAACTCTTGTCAGAAAACAATGTCTCTTTTTTAAAATTTTATTTAAATTCTTTTGATTGGACTCTGAGTTTTCATGGTACCCCCAAATCTGGTGGCTCTACTGCTCCCTGGTAAAAATTAAGGCTCTAGAATCTCTGGGAGGCTCAAATCTCTGGGAGTTGAACCCTGTCTCCCTAGATACACCATGACAGCCTTCATTTCTGAGTCTTGCATGGTCTCTGGGAAACTACCATGGAGCATGCGCCAGGCCACCTATGCTCAGAAATTGATGACTTTGATTTCTTTCCAGCCTCTGAGAACCTCTCCCACTCTTGACCTTAAAAGTGCCCCTTGCTTCTACCATTCTTTTCTCCCATCTCTTTTTCACAAATCATTTCACAAGCAGGCTCAAAGAGTAAGATGGAGGGAAAAAATGTCACTCAGGAATAAACTCAGATGAATCTCTTTCCCCCCCTCCTCTCCTCCCCTCTCTTCTCCTGACTCTTCCCATAACTCTCTCTAACTCTCTATCGCTCTCTCAAACTCACTCCCTCCCTCTATTTGAGATTAAGGTTATAAAGTGTTTCATTAAAAATTATTTTTATTTTTTACATATTTAATTTTATAAATTATTTTTTAATTTATTGTAATACAAACTAATACTTAACTGTCAAAAATGAATAAAAGCAATACAAAACTGATGAGAAAAGAACCATCTGTGTGGCTTCCTAGGATCTTATCATTTATCTACATATAATATCTATCAGAACCTCTGTTCTCAAAACAGAGGATGTTGTCTACCTGGGCCTAATAATGGAAACAGGCTTTTAAAATGAATTCAATGTTGGTGACACTGCCTCAAACAGATCACTTGGTGATGGCAGCGAACCATAATGGCACCAGGAATCATGGAGCCATGTTTTCACTTCTTCTCTCTACCTACATATTCTTGTGACTTACAAGAGGTCACTTACATATTCTTACCCCTGTCTTCCTCACAAAGAAAATAATACCTGCCCAAATATTATTCATACTGAGGTAAGTGTGTTAGCCTCTTTACTACCCTCTTGAGGGCCTCTCTGATCTCCTTGTTCCTCAGACTGTAGATAAGAGGGTTTAACATGGGGATAAAGATAACATAGAACACTGCCAGGACCTTGTCCTGCTTCTTGGAGTGGCTAGAGCTAGGATGCAGGTACACTGAGAGGCCTGTGCCATAAAATATTGTCACAACTGCCAGGTGGGAGGCACAGGTATTGAGGGCCTTGGCACTACATTTGACAGAGGATATTTTCAGGATGGCAGCTACAATGAAACCATAGGATAAGAGGATAACAAGAAAAGAACCGAACCCAATAAAAAAAGCTACCAGAAAAAGAATCATTTGGCTGATGAAGGGATTGGAGCAAGATAAGGAAATGATATGGGATATGTCACAGTAGAAATGGTGAATGGTATTGGGCCCACAGTAGTAGAGATGAAAGCAAGGGACAGTTTGAACTAAGCTACCAATAAAAGCACTCACATAGGCCCCAGCAACCATCTTCTGACAGAGGCCAGGACCCATGACGGCTGAGTACTGCAGAGGCCTACCAATAGCAACATATCTGTCATAGGCCATGGCGGCCAAGAGGCAGCACTCAGCCTGAGCCATCCAGGACCCAACAAAGTACTGGGTAGCACAAGCAATGAAGGAAATCATTTTTTTATCTCTTAAGAAGTCTGAAATCATCCTTGGGCTGGTGGAAGAAGAATAGCAGATGTCTATAAATGACAGGAAACCAAGAAAAAAGTACATGGGTGTGTGCAGGTGGGAGTCCATCCTGATTAGGATGATGAGACCCACGTTCCAGACTAGGGTGAGAAGGTAGATCCCCAGAAAGATTGGGAAGAGGATAAGCTGCAACTCCTTTTCATCTGACAGTCCCAGGAGAACAAACATGGCCACAGAAGTGTGATTTCTTTCTCCTTCCATGGACCTGATTGGTGACATCTGCTGAGAAACAGATGAGAGTAGGAATGATTTCATTCTCAAAAAACACAAAGAAATCCTCTTCATTTTTTTCCCAGTCATATAGCTGACTAAATATACAACCTTGAATCATCAGTGTTGAGTTAATCTGTGCTTTCCATGTATAATCACCAATTTTAACTGAAAATAATCGTGGATAAATATTGCCTCTCTCTCTTTGGGGACAAAAGATAATAAATGGGCACCATTAGTACATTGTCCCCTACAGTGTCTTAATTTCATGTCTTTCCACTCCAGATTTTACCAATATATGAGAATTGGAAATAGACCAAATTAGGATAATCTGCCATCTCTTTATATGGTGAAACAGAATGATTCTACTCAAGCATGGCTCTGATATTAAATCAATGCTTGGAGAAGGCCCTGAATCATGCTGGGCCTCGTAGGTCAAATGAGGATGGTGAAGTAGGTGCTCTTTAAAATCTCCTTGAGAACTTATATTCAATTAATTTATGATCAGGGAGGGTGGACAATTCTGTAACTGCCTTTATGCTTTCATAAAGCCTGGAGAAATATAAAAATAATATAATAAGATAGTGGGAAGAGACACACACGAAGAAGCAGCTTGGAAATGGATGTGACTTAAGCAACATACTGACTCTAGGAAGGCTCCTGAGAAGTTAGATAAGACAAAGTTGAAACAGCCATTATGCTCCCTTCCTTGCAGGTATAGATTTTTCTTTCCACAAATCATAGATATTTATGAGTTTATTCATGACTCCCAGGTTAAAGACTTCCGACAATGAAGAGTGACTTGAACTCATGTAAAGGTGAAGATGCTTAGGCAATTGACACGGGGATTAGGAAACTCAGGCAGGATTTTTTCTCTTTTTCTCGTTGGGGTCAGTCCAGAGTAGGCAAGCACCAAGACTTTAGGCCAAGTGGTAAAAAACCAAAAGAATATTTTTGCATCAGACACTGCATGCCCTTTTCAAAAAGCTGTGGGGGTCATTCCCTCCAGATGGTCATAGAACATCTGCAAACACAAATACATTTATATTCAAATGAACTCAAACTAGAAATAAAATCATGGGAAGTTACGAAAGGTAGAGAATAGGGGTCACATGTAGCCTGGGAGTTGTGTATAAGGGAAAAGTAGAAGTCTTGGAGATTTCTTTGGAGAAAGACTGTGACATTATTGGAATAAACAATGTCAATGAACCACAAATATTTGTCAACATTAGCCATCTAGAATGTCTTGCTTCTCCCTAACCATTTCCCAGCCTCCTAGTCCAAAAATGAATAAAAAGGGAAAATCACCATAAAAGCATATGGCTATACCTTGAGAAGTAAGATAGAAAGGTTCATTTCTCAAAATCGGTTCATTCTTTGCTTCATGGTACACTATTTGAGAAGAATTCTGAAATAATGAAGTGATTAGTTGCAAAAGACATCAAGATATTTACCACCAGTATAGAAAGGGAAATTGTCCCAGACAGCCTATGTATTTGCCATTCCAGACTTCAGTGTGATTCTATCCACAGTAAGACTGAATGGAGGGAGCATTTTGTGAGAAGAGAGCAGAAAATTGCATTCTTCATCATCATCGCCAACAATCATGCCAAAAAAAGATTTATTGAGCAGCTACATTATATACTAATCTTTTCCTTCTACTAATGGAGATATTCACAGCTTCCTCTAATGCCCGTTCATTCACTATGGTAAGCTTGAGCCTGGTGTACTGTCTACTAAACACAGATAGTACTCTGAAAATTGCCTCTATATTTTTGCTATATGCCTCTGGAAATCCAATTTGATGTATGTTAAATCGTCTTACTCTACTTTCCACATCACTGAAAAATCCATTATTTGTATTTCTCTACAGTGTTTTGTTTAGTTTTTAAAGATCTATCTTCCAGTAAATTTGTTTTATCATAAGTTGTGCTAACTAGCTATTTAAGTTATCTATTGAGTCTCAGATTTCAGTTACAAAAATATTATTTTCTCTTCTAAGGTTTCCATTTTGCCTTGTTCCCAAATAGTCAGTTTCGATAATCTCTTATTCCATCATACATTCAATAATATCCCACATATTAAACACATTTATATAAATTATTATCTAATAATTTAAATACACAGTTTTGCAAGTCTGATTCTATAGTTTGATGTTAGTGCTGACTTTTCCTCAAGGTGCCTTGTTTATTTGTGTGTCTAGTGATTTGTGTTTTTTTTTTTGCTGAGGATGATTCACCCTGAGCTAACATCTGTTGCTAATCTTTCTCTATTTTGTAAATGGGTCGCCACCACAGCATAGCCACTGATGGTGGTGTAGGTCCACACCCGGGAACTGAACCCAGGCTGCTGAAGTGGATTGCACTGAACTTAACCACTAGGCCACCAGGGCTGGCCTATTTCTGTGTTTAGTGATTTCTTTATCTTAAGTTCATGTTCTCTTAAAATTTATCTGTGGGAATCATTCATGCTTGTGTCTAAAATACGTTCCTTCAGAAATGATTTATAATACTTCTGTCAGGTACCTTTGGGACAACACCAACACAGAATCACTTTAAACAAAACTTTTAACCAGCTGTTTTTTGGGGTAATAATAGTGATAATATTTAGGCTGCACATCTACATAAGTAGATGGATGAGATTTAAAAAATTCAGGGTAAAACTGATGTAACCATCATAGTGACAAGAGACTTTCCTCCTTTGTGTCCCTCATTTAAAAAATTAATTGAACATCCATCCAAGAACAAAATCACCTTTGTGAGAGTTGTAGTATTCAGCACCATAAGCCAAGAGACCCAGGAGGAATGTTGCCCACCTGTACATCCAGAAATAGGCAGACATACCTCAATATGGGCTGCAGAGCCAACAAGAGCCAGCAGACCTGCCCCAATCCCTCTTGGCCACGGTGGGGTAAAGCCTGGAGAGTACTAACTTGGACACACACCCATGAATGAGACAGACTTAGTGAAGCCCAGCCTTCCCTATGGGGGATTCCAGCACACTACTGGAGCAGGAAAAATGTATGAGTTTGATCACAGTGGAGACAGTGAAAGGAGCTGTCCCAGAACCACCCCCTTCAAGGCAACACTGCACAAGCTGAAGTATTCAGCAGTGGCAAACTATCCTGCAGAGGAAAAAGCAGTGAGTGAGTGCCCAGCTACCCCAGTAGTGCTTGACACAGCTGGAGAAACATGTTTCTCTTCAGAAGTACCTAGTATACTGAGATGGGTAGTCTAGGACTGGAGGGAGAGGGAAGATCAGGAAAAAGGCAGATAAGAATATCTAAGGGCTTTAAAGGGGCACAACTCCTGCTGACTGCATTCAGGATTTCAGCAGAAAATAAACCCATTAGCCAGCAGGAGTACTTCACTTAAGGATATTTCCACTAGATCCATGGAACCCCCAACCCCACCCCCCAGTGCTAAACTGACACCTCTTTTCACTCTGCAGCTGGCTCCTTGTGCACATTTCCAAGGGCAACAGTGAAAGCAAATCTGGTAAACTGAGTGCTCTCCGAAAAACAGACCTGTGTCTGTGGGCAAGGGAGAAACCAAAAACATGAACTGTAATGCCACCATCTGGAAAACAAAAACGAGGTTTCCAGTAGCCAGCCTGGTGAGTGGTAACAACCAGAGAAGACACAGTACCTTGAGAATTCTGCCACAAGAGAGAGCAAGAAGAGTGGAGCCTGTGTACCTATACAAAGGCAGAGAAAAACCTCAGATATAATACAACCAATGACAGTATACCCCATATGAAGGCAGCTACCAAAGATTTAAGGAGATGTATGCTACTTCAAATGCAGAAGCAGCAACCAAAACCTACAAGAAACATGAAAAATCAAGGAAACATGTCACTACCTAAATAATAATTCTCCAATAACCAATCTCAAAGGCACAGAATTTTGTGATCTAGCTAATAAAGAATTCAAAATGGCTGTTTTGAAGAAAGCCAATGAACTATAAGAAAACTCCGAAAGATAATTCAATGAGATCAGGAAAAAATATATGAGAAAAAGAGATATTTACCAAAAAGACAGAAATTATAAAAATGAACCAAATAGAATTCTGGAGCTGAAGAATTCTATGAAGGAAATGAAAAATGCAGTAGAAACCATTTGTAGTAGAGTAGAGCAAATGGAAGACAGATAACTAAGCTAGAGGTCAGGGAGTTTAAAATAATGCAGTCAGAGCTGAATGACAACAACAACAAAAAACAGACTCAAAAAGAGCAAAGAAACCCTATGTGGTCTATGGGATTCTATCAAAACAAAATTAGAATAAATGGGGTTCACAAAGATAAAAGAGAAAAGAGGGGGCTGAAATATAAAGAAATAATACCAAGAACATCCAAAACCTGGGGAGATACTTGGACATTTAAATTCACAAAACTGACAGATTATCCTTTTATCTCATGCCAAAAACTTTCTCAAAGACACATTAAAACAAAACTATGAAAAATCAAAGCTAAAGAGAATATTCTAAAAACAATCAGAAAAAGGAAATGATTGTGGCATACAAACAAAACCCCCTTAAGCTATTAACAGTTTTCTCAGGAGACATCCTACAGGCCAGGAGAGAATGGAATGACATATTCAGTGTTGAAAGAAAACACTGCCGGCCAAGAATACTCTATTCTGCAAAAGTTATACTTCAACTATGAAGGAGAAATTAAGAATTTCCCAGATACATAAAAACTGAGGTTGTTTATCACCAATAGACTTGCCTTGCAAAAAATGCTAAAAAGAGTTTTTCAAGCTGAAGTGAAAAGACACTAACCAGTGACATGAAAACAGATGAAAGTTTACAACACAGTGATAAAGGTAAATACGTAGTCAGACATAAAAAACTCTAATTTTATAATAGGACAGTGTGTTACTCACTTAACTATAGTCTAAACGTTAAAAGTAAAGACTATTACAAATAATTATAGCTACTATAATTAGTTAAAGAATACTCAATATAAAAAGAGGTAAATAATGGCATAAAATATAAAAGGAGAGAGTAAAA